GAATAGGAGGAGGAGGAGAGAGATGGAGAGACGTGGAAAACTGGCGAGTCATGGTGGTGAGCCTGTGGTGAGGTCACTGGAAGCCAATCCCAGCGCAGCCCTGATCAGAAGGCTCGAAGGGATGACCGGACGTAAGCTCCGGGCACTGGGCACTCAGTGCTGTTGTGTGGGGCGGGTCCTCCTAAGATTATTAGGATTAGAAGAGGCTATTGCACCGTTTGCCCCAGGTCAGTGCGGGATGAGATCATGACGACGATGACTCGGGGGTTTGCCCTGGCGACCCGCCCTCAGAAAAAGAGAGGAAAATCTTCTTCCACAATTTTTTTTGATCTACAATAATTAAGTTGGTAATTTTTTTTTCCAAAATGCTGTCGCAAAAGTGTATGCAACGTGTAGAGATGTGGCTCAAATATATAATTTAGGCAAAAGGGTTCTCTTGACAAGAAGTGGTTGGGGCGGGGTGCAAAGGTGCAGCGTTTGTGCTCTCGAGTGGACTCGAGTATAGTGGCTCCGAGCCCTCCGAGCAAGGGCTAACACAGCGCCCCTAGCAACATGAAGCAAGCTGTCGACCGGCAGCCGGCATTCGCAAACTGTAAAGGGTGTGTGTAAGTTGGGGGTGGTTCTAGTTCTAGTTGTTCCCAATCAAAGAAGGGGGTAAAAGTGAGGGATCAGGGTTTCTTTTCACGGGGGGGGGGGGGGCAGTAGTCAGTCTAACATCAGACTTTAACGTGGAGTATTTTGGGCGGTACACTAAAACACATACCAGGTGGCTAGACTCTCGCCGCACACTTTTTATTCATTGAGTTTACACTGTACTGCAAGCACGGAAGCGCGGGCGGGTTTGCCTATCCCTGCTTCTGCACACGACTCCTCCAGGTGTCGCAGTGGAATAGTACCCCGTACCCCCCGGTACATATCACCTAAGGTATTAGTACCCCCCGGTATAAACCCCCTAGGACATTTATACCCCCCCTCCCCCCACAGGACCCCTAGGGTACAAATGCCCCAGGGGATTTATACCGGGGGGTCTAATTCAGTCATTAATTTTACACCCCCTTATACCAGGAGGGGGGTATAAATCCGTCAGGTGGTTGTGCGAGCACGGCAACGCGCCCGCACGCGTGCAAGCGGTACAGTATAACTACATAAAAGTGCGCGGCGTGAGTCTAGCCACCTGGTGCGTACAATGATTCTCCCCCTGGCCTTATGATGGTAAGCTAGAGGACACTAAATCAAAGCTCCACCCATAACACCCCTTCATCGACGCTCCCCCCCCCCCCCCCCACCCTCTCACCCGTTAAGAATGAGAAGTGTAAGGCCTGCGGGCAACAGCACAGCAACACATGTAAAAATCCAAAAATGTAACAATTTGACGACAATAAAACCATTTGAAAAAAATGGTAGAGCGCCGGCTTCCTGAGCAGCAGGAGCGGGGTTCGAATCTTCGCTGGACTGGAATTTCTTCGGAGGTTGAGAATTCGGAGTGGAATTCAAACCCGTGATTCCAACCGAGCTCTCTAGTGGGAAGGCCTAAGGTGTAGTGGTTATGATAGCCGCTACGCGGGGTGACGAGTGTCGGCACTTGGTTCGGTCCTCACTGGCAGCGAAAAAGCGGGTTGCCAGGAGGTCGGATCATGCGGCGAGCGGTGGTCGCTCGTCGGTATATAAGACCTGTGATACTGGCTCCGAAAACAGCGTCCCATGACCTGAGCGGTAGGGGGTCAGTTCTGTTTAACCAACCGTACGATAGTCTCCGCTAAACAAATTGGGTACCCGTCGTTCCTGTTTAAGCGGGTAGGCGACAACCCTGGTCAACAGTTGGTTGGATCTAACAGTGTGGCTGCTGGCGTGGACACACCGGATCCCATCCGAACTCCGAAGTTAAGCACGCGGGGCCCCGCGTAAAAGCGGGGTGGGTACTCCCTCTTTTTCACATTCGTTGAAAAATGATTTGGTCCGAAAGGGCACCTTTATAGTCTGTTCGGAAGTCGCTGGATGGTGCGCACCTCCACCGCTCCCCCCTCGCCCTCCGCTCCTGCACGCTAGTGCGTAGGCAACCCATCAAGCTGCCGCGTATTCTTACGGACACCCGGTATGCTGTAGCACCGGAAACAGGGTCAGAAATCGCGTTTGTAGTATTTCACACACAACGTTTGCGAAAAGCCAGATACCAATCACGTTGCCGCAGTTTGTACGTCAGTGTCGCCCGGTCGCACCGTGACGGTGGATATCCGCACCCGTCGCGTGCGGTAGAGTCCCATCCTATACTTGGACTCAAGGACTCTAGCGCGCGGCTGCGCGGGTGACCACAGTGTGGTCATCTATCCCATTCAGGGTGTCTGCCGGTATCCGCTGAGCCCCGTTGGAGCAAATTGTAAAAACAAAATCTGAAGGAATATTGTAAATCCACTAGAAAATATGCCAATTTTTATGTAGGTTAGTAGGTTGAGGGAAAGAGAAAAAGTACGCAAATAACGGTAAAAGTTTGTAAGGTTAAAAAGCATTTTTGTAAATTTAGAGTATACCATCTTTAGTTTACAAATACGCTCTGTAAAAGTGTGTACAAGAATACTTACTAGATAAAATAAATAGGGTAGAAGGGTGGGTAGGCAATTTGTCCTACAAAACCCCTGAAAGTAGGCAACCCACAGAAAATCACCCCCTCCGTTAGAACGGCGCCTCACGTGTGAGCTGGTATACGCATTTTCTCCAAACGACGGTTTCAACATTGGCCATCCGGTGCATTTGAATTAAAAGTACATCGACCACCCTGAACAACGAGAAGACCCGGCAATCTTTATCAAAACTGGCAAACGGGAATGGACAAGGTAATCTTTATCAGAACGGAAAAGTTTTACCTTCGGGCAGACAGCAACAAGGGACTGTCTACAAATGACGCGCCACCGGATATCTACGTCATTCTATGGACAGGGCGGGGCAAGGGGCCGGGCGGGCGGGGCGGAGGGGGGCCTCCACTGGCTCTGCAGTCTGAAGCTGCCGCTCCGCGTGCGGCAGAGGCTGGGTGTTCCCTCCCTCTGAGTCAGTCAGTCAACCCAGGAGGTGGAGCGGGGCGGAAAACCCTTACCGTGACCACAAAAAAAAAAAAGAAAAAGAAAAAGGGAAAAAAATTGAGGTCGGCACTACGTTTATGACTGTTTATTCGATATTTCACAAGTCGTCGAGAACAATAGTAAAAAGAACACAAAATAGAAAGCAGCAAAGCGTATTACAGATGCTGCGTCGTGCCCTTGAAAAGAGCGTAAAACTAAGTACAAAGAAAAGAACAGCGTAGAAATGTGATTTTACATCAAAAACAATAGATGATCATTACATGTGGAAAGACAAACCACACATACAATTAAAACAGTTCAGATAGACACAGACAGACAGACAGACAGATAGATGAGATTAAATTAGAGTAAGTGAACGTAAACAAAGATGACGTCTACAGTAAGGTCTACCAGACCCCTCGTACTTTCAACTTCAATAACAGGGACGCCTAGAATATGACACCGTACAAGAGACACAAACGGTACAAAAATTGTAAAAATCCAGGTTAAGTTGAAGTACCCTCTGGGTAGATCAGCCTCTCTCCATAAACAACTCTAATATATCACACAAGACATGGAATGAAAAAGTTGGTCTGTCTGATGGGAAATAAGAATTACTCCATACTAGACGTACACAATACAAATAACATATTTTTCAGAATGAAAGAAAGACCAACCAAATATCACTGAGATTACAAGAAAAGATTTCCTTCATAAAGATCCAACAAAACAAGTTATGTTTTATAAGTTTCAAAACTGGAAATGGGAAAATTATAGACAATTTTTTTTAAATCAAAGAATAGCATTCTTAAAGTACTTTAAAATAATTAACAATAACTACATACCAAATCCTAATGGCACAATCTAAACATGTATCATGTAGATGTTCAGGATATAATTCTACATTATAAATATCATTACATTTGTTTGAACCAACAACTTGCTTTTAGTCTTAAAGAATATCTTGGCACATACATAATCTTGTCACTGGATAGTAATAAGGTATTTCTTGGTGATGACAGTGTTGAGCATACAAGGGTTTACACAGTAGTGCAAGTTTCTGAACTCAAAAATAGGGCGTCTTCAACAATTCATCATGCGAAAAATCCTTTCAGCTGCCCCCCAACTGAATAAAAGTGATGTGATGGCCGATGTTCGGCTCCCCGGGTTTGCTACGTCCGGGGAGGCGGGCATAGGCAGACAGCACAGAAGCAGGAGGGCAGAATGTGTTCAGTGTGGGGGCACCTAATTAGGAGAGAACATTGAAAGTGTGATAAAAAAAAGTTCAGTTGAGCTTGCTGAGTAAACAAACCAATATCACAGAATACCAAGACTCGGGAGCAGTTTTCAGACGGTGCTCAGTCATAATGCCAAAAAGACATTTCCTCAAAAATGCAGAGGATGAGTTTATCAGATCAGAGATAAAGATTTTTTTTCTTGAATCACTCAAGGAAGCAAACAAAATACATGGAACCCAAGTTCATGTCCAAACATTAAAATTAAGATACAAAATCATTGCCTCCATAAAGCATTGATTGATTAAAAAATAATTTCTATGATACAACATATCTAAAGTGGGCTTAGGCCTTCTACATCAATGTTGAAAGCCAAAATTGTGGAATGACTTCAATAGACAACACTTCACAAAAGTTTCACAACTGAAAAGCAAGTACAAAATATCATGGTAAAATAAGTAAAAGCATACATAGGTAATATGATGCAGCTCTGATATGTAAAAATACAGTCATTCGGTTGTACACTTAAGTGTACAATTGGATTAAAATATACATGGTATATAGATTTATATACAAAAATCACTATGGGCCAGGTAGGCAGTCTAATCTACAATCACAGACAATGAAGATTAATGATACATGCTTACTAGACCAATTTTGGTTTACATGTGACAAGAGCATACTCCTGTTCATTACACAGTTGATGATTGGGTCTAGCCAAGCTTAAAGTAAATGGTGCACTTAGTGTTTCAGAAGGCCTGCGAACCGAACCATATCCATAGTGTGAATCATCAGCTCGCCTGCAAGACTCAATAGGGTCTGATGAAATGTCATCGTCTGACAACATTTTGGACAGAGGTCCATGTTCAAGCCTTGACATACTTGCAGCAGACTGCAACTTCCCAAAATGATGGTAGCTAGAAGAGCGTGTACTTAGCCTAGTGGAAGTGCCAAAATGTTCAAGTTTATCATAGTTATCAGTGGGATCTACACCTCTTAAATCACCAGCTGAAAATATTGCTGGACATCTTTGTTGCTCTAGAAGGGGCATAGGTGAGGGAGCAGGTGTATCATCACGCGGAGCATCTATATCTTCATAGTCATCAGCATTTTGAGTGCCAGCTGTACGTCGTTCAGTATGATGCATTTCTTCCATACCTAGAGTACGCCATGCTTCTTTCCTCACAACTACACTATCATAGTCATCTGTGGGGGTTGTTGGCAAAGACATGCTCCCTGGAGTGTACACCTAAACAAAGAAGCACACATAAGTCAAAGTCAAAAGTACTGGTTAAAATGCTTACTTCTAACAAACATGAAACCAACCTGTTCTCGATTATGAATAGTTTCTAGGCTCTTGCGAGGAGGCTTGGCTGGCTTAGATGGTTTGGCAGGGGGAATAGGTTTAGCTAAAACTAGAGGTTTGCATGGAGGCTTGGGGTGCAAAGGTGGTGGTTGACGAGGTAGAGTTTGAACAGATACCTGTGAACTGGAACTACAGCTGAAGTCCAATTCACACATGGCTGATGTTGCACTTGTTGGTGAGGGCAATAGAGGACTACGTGACCGAGGTAGCATGCTCAAAGCTCCCTGTACAGAGAAAATTAATAGTATCAATACATGTGGTTCTGACCAAAAACACCAGGTAGAACAAAGGGAAAAGGAAATTCTCACTTCGAATTCGCTATTAGTGGACCCCAAGGCAGGCAAAAGTTGACGCATATTCTTCATTTTAGAGGACATACACCTAAAGATTTCTTGTTGGTTTGAGTGCTCAAGTTGAAATTCCCCCTGAAAAACAATATTTCAAAATATCAGAAGGATACAAGCATTTGTATTCACTGGTTTAAAGATTAAAACATCAAACACAAAAGAAAAAAAAAAAAGCGTCCTCAAAACTTATCAAGTCACAATCAAAAAAGCATTTACCTCTCCTGTCTCACATTTACGGCCTGCTTCAAAAGTAAATTTTCCTGTGCGAGTTCCATAGCGTCGGATAAAACGATAAGGCCAAGTGAACAATAAGTGATTTGTATTGTGCTCCCTCAGTTGTAGAGCAGTTGGTGTAACTACAAGTGTATATGGCCCTGGATCAAGACCACAGTTTGAGGATGCATCTGAAGGCACCAACTTCACAGAAAAAACACCTGGAAAAATACAGTAGGTATTTAGTGTAAAAAAGGAGGAAAATATACATTCCGGGAAGATATAATTTCCAAATTTAAAGATCTTACCTTCTCCTGATGGACAGTACAAATCATTGTCCTCTTCAATAGTTTGGTGAGAAAAATCATCCTTAAATGCTACAGCTTGCATGGCAGATATCCATTCAGACATTTCAGACTCAGTTGGCGATGCAAAATTGTGAACTGCCACTTTAGTGAACACCTACACCATAATATAAAATTGTAAAGGTACAAATTTTACCACAAAGAAGGAAAATAGTCAGGATTGTGAGAATGAGCTATAACAATATTAGACTTACGGCAAACACATAAGGATCCTTTTTCTGAACATCTTGGGTAATTTTAACACAATTTTCTAAAGTGATAATTTTTACGGCAGTCTTCAGCTTATCATCCTTGCTTTCAAACACTTCGAGACGTTCTATACCTTGCTTGCTAGCTTTATAGAGCTGGCAATACTTCCGCTGCCAGGATTTCTGAAAATTACAACACAGAAGATGGAGAATAAGAACCAAGGGTTTAACACACAACACAAAGCTACCTGTTGACTGAAGGAACATAACCTCTCTAAACGAAAAATAATCGCATGCAGAATGAAGACGGGCCTGACTCGAAAACAACGATACCAAGGCGCAATTTCAGTCTGAATAAAATTGAACAAATGGACAGCAAATCGCCCCTGCAGCACCCACCTTCAACATTCCCTGCGATTGGAACAGCAAGTGACCCTCCTTGAAGCACTGATCGGTGTTCATCTTCGCGCCGGTGGATGGACGTAAATAAGGAAAAGCTTTGAGCTCCGAACGGGATGGAACATTAAAGTTGGAACAAATGGAACGGCCCTCGAAATGGGAAACATTCAATCAATTTGTAAGGCCTCTGATTGTGCCTCAACCTCGATCACATCTTTCTCCATCTAAGTCTGTATCAATATTCCTCCGAACAAGGGCCGCCCAACAACAACAAAAACAACAGCAGCAGCAACAATAACAATTAGCACTCCGGAAATGCCGATGGAGTGAGCACGCTGAGCACGAGCACACTCGAGATTCAAACGTCTAGAGAGCGCCAAACAATATTCGGAACCACGACGATTTTATCATGGCGAGCAACACTCTACAGCACATAGTTTTCACAAAAGAGAATAATTACTTTCGCTAGCAATAAACGATAGGTGCGAAAATTGTATAGCAAAAGAACATCTAGTGCGCAAATATGTTTTGCTAACTAAATTTCTCATGACCGTTGTCTTTACCGCCTTGGCGCGCTTCATTTGTTCTCCGGCACCTCCGGGGGACACTAACCTTAAAATTCAGAAAACAAACAGTTTCTGACGAATATTGTTTTCCTCAATGTCAGCGAAGAATCTGTATCAAAGTTGGCTTCCTCTTAATTAATATAAATAACGACGCTTTCGCTCAACATGAGTTTCAACTTTAATCAGCAACAAGTCCCTGCAGGAGCTAATTCTTTAGGAGTCAGGTAAGTTTTGGGGTATTTCGAACCAATGCAGCATATATACTCCAATAACTTCGGAAATCTAAGTAATTTGTTTTAAAATCTTATATTTTATATATGAAATCACTAGCTAGTAATCGTGGCCTATTTAGTAATTTCTCACTTGCTACATGTGTTTGTCATTCAAATAAATTTCAAAAATACCCTTTCTAATTTTTCCTATAGACCTGCTGCTCCAGCCTTTGGGGCTCCAACAGCTGCTCCAGCCTTTGGAGCTCCTACAGCTGCTCCCTCGTTTGGGGCTGCAACAGCAGCTCCTTCATTTGGAGCTCCCACATCTGCTCCGTCGTTTGGGGCTCCAACAGCTGCTCCAGCCTTTGGAGCTCCCACAGCTGCTCCCTCGTTTGGAGCTGCAACAGCTGCTCCTTCATTTGGAGCTGCAACAGCTACCCCTTCGTTTGGGGCTGCATCAGCAGCTCCAACGTTTGGAGCTGCAACTGCCGCCCCCTCGTTTGGGGCTGCTACTGCAGCTCCTGCATTTGGGACTGCAACAGCCACATCTGCAGCCCCTGCGTCAACGGCCCCTTCAGCATTTGGGCAGAGCTTTGGGACCCCAGCATCCTCAGCAGTATCAGTGGGCGTTGTAGCTCCACAGCCACAGTTGTCTCTATTTGCAACCCCTTCTGCTGCACCAAAACCAACAGCAGGATTAAGTAATTAATTTTATAAAATTTATACAAAGTTTTGCATTCACAAATACTTCTTTCATGTTATACTATACTGTAATGTATTATTTTGTTTGGTACAGCCACTCAACCAGCCACTAGCAATTCACTCTTCGCTGCTCCTCAGGTAACGTTGAGCTTCTCACTCACCTTTTGTGATTGTTATCAGCTCTCTCATCAAATTATCTTGATCTCCATTTCTATTTTTTAAGGCCACACCTGGACTTTTTGGTGCCCCCTCATCTGCACCATCTGCATCGTCTGCCGGCCTCTTCTCTGGACTTACTACAGCTAAACCTACCGGTCAGTTCGGAACAACGGCTGCCCCAACCTCCCTCAGCTTTGGTACAACTTCGTTAGCACAGACATCCACTGCCACCTCAGGTTTTGGTTTAGGAGGTAAATATTATTACAATTGTGATTCTTTTAAAAATATTTGTCTGGCTGGCTATGGTTTGTTTCTACATTGTTCAAATTGTGAAGTACATAATGTGCAGTTTACTTACCTTGTGATTTAATGTATAGGGTCCACAGCTGCAGCCCCTGCCCCATCCGTTGGTTTGGGTGGAGTAGCTTCCACATCCTCAAGTGGGCTGACAAGTTTGTCGGGATTGGCGGGAGCTCAAACTACTAGAACAGAAGCCAAATCCCCTAAAGAAACACCTATACCAGATGATATTGCTAGAGGAGTTGAAACATTTAGGTTGGACACTATTTGAGTATGTGCTGCCACGAAATAATCAATTCATCATTTAATGTCCTATTTTTTGTTTGGCAGGCAATATGTGAAAAAGCAAAAGAGTTTCAGCTCAGAGATTGCAAGGTGCTCATCCAAGCCATTGCTCAAAGTACAGGAGGATACAGATGCAATGAAGCTTGTGTTGACAAGTAACACTGCTGGTCTTCAGCGATTAAAATCTATAGCTGATAAACTAAAAGCTGACACCGCAAAGGTTGTCTTTCTCACACCTCATCTTCCTCTTAATTTCCTGTGATGAGACTGTCAGACTACAACTATATTTCTCTTCTAACTCAGGCTCTTCAGCACACTGAAATGGCTCAGCGTACCCATGACACCCCAGCGGGCCTTCAGTACGATAACACAGCCCCCCTTCAATATTTTGCTGAACTTGTTTCTGGTTTCGAGAGAGACATCAAACTATTTCGCCAAGAAATTGAAAATGCCGAGAGGCATGTTCATTCAAGAGTACAACTTACAGGAATCACACCTGCTGGTATGTTTCATTTATGACATACTTTTGGTTCTTTTCCTTTAGTGTGTCACCTACCTAATATATTTTATTTATCTCATATTGTTCAGTAGTGATAATGATGATAACCTCTATTCTTCTTCATTAACAGAGTTAACACAATCCATGCGAAGGCTCTATGACAGCTTTGTCGCCTTGGCGGGCCGTCTCCATTCAGTTCATTCTCAAGTTAAGGCTCAGAAAGAACAGTATTTATCACTTCGGAAATATATTCTAAATGATGCATCAGATGTTTTTGATGAATCTGCTCGAAATCGAGTAAATGCAATTTCAACTTTAACTGGTGCAAATAGTGGGCAGCCTTCAAAATCTATGGTGGGACCGACTCCTTTCTCAGGTTTGTGTTTGGATAGCTGATGTTCTGTCTAAATTCTGTTGAATAGTATTTTTTGACCCCAACCTTTTAACCATCCCTTTTCAGCTCTGAATTCACAACATGGCTTCGGACTCCTAACTGCAGGAGTTGCAGCTTCCTCAAGGCAAAACTTCCCCGGAGTGGGTCCTTTAGGTAAATAATAAAAATAATCTAGTTTCTTTCAAATTTTGTTAAATCCCTCGTATTTTATGATGGCGTGATTGTATGAATTGCTGTTAAATTCTGGTGAAGGTTTTGGTTTACATTGGCAAAGCTGCATTTTGATTATCTAATTTTCTGATAGTTTGAAAAGTAGACTGTTCACAAAATCCTATTAAGGCTGCTTTTGGAGAGATTCTAATCAGATAAATCAACATATTTTTATCCCCAATTATAATTGCAACCTCCAAAGAAATGCTACATTTTAATGCTTCAATTTTTTGGCTGTTTAAAGGCTTGCATGATCTGTCTATAATATCTTCCTAATACGCAGGTACAGTAGTATTTCATTTACTTTCATGTATCATAATATTTTTTGTTCTCCTTCTTTCACATCTTTTTCCAATAGTCAATGTCTATTGTTTTCAGTCTAGGAATCTATTCTAGATGTCAGTTTAATTTGTCCATCTTATGATTTATTGTTCTCTCTTTTGGTGTATTATGTACAAAATGGAAATGGAAACCCTGTAGTGTAACATCTTTTCCAGCATGAATGTTGTGTTTGCCCAGAATAAATTCTAACCTACACTCCTCACCTAGCTGGGCAAAAAAATACTATTGAAATTCTCCTCTTCTATAGGAGTAGTGAATGTTTTGACCATGCATGCTGCTAGTTTTGATGTTTTACCTGCCAGTTGTAGCCTTTCTTGTTTAGTTTTCTTTTTTTACTGAAATCATATATTTGTAATTAATTTAAAAAAATTTATGTTGAAGTTATATTTTGGAGAAACAATAAAGAATCTTCACACTGTTTTACCTATGACCATTTTGCTCTTTAGAACTGAAACTAGGTATGTTTTTTGTTTTGGTTCTTTAAGAATGAGAATGACAAAAGGTCAGCTCCCACAAATTTAATTGTTTGTTCTTGTCCAACCTCTCCTTTCCTTACTTAAAAGACGTAAAATTACTGATCACTTGTAGAGTGCTTTTCTGAAGCCTATGTGTGTGTGTGTATGAAAGTATGTTCAGTAGTAGTGATGATTTGCCACTACTGTCTTACCCTGACCTGACTTGCTGGTTCACTTGAACACAGTATGTTTTACACAGGTGCACTGTGCAATTGCCAACTTACTTTTTTCTAGTAGTAGTTATGGAATGAAATGCATGTCTAAGTTTGTGGTGATGGATATCAGGCGATAGCCTTCGAGAGCTTTTGAGAACAGTATGTTGGTTTGATGTTGTAGTATACACCCTCAAATCTAAGTGAAAAATATGAGATAGACATTAGAGGTGTGCGCCGTTCATGATTTTTCTGAGGTTTCCCAAGGTACATAAAGTTGCATTGACATAACCATTTAGATAGCCTTACAACAGTCCCACAGCAGAATGAAGCATGCCCAAAGTAATGGGATGTCATTTTATATGTGCAGGATGGAGCAGTCCAGGAAACACAGCAGGCAGCACAACCATTCCTTTAACTCCCCATCCTGATAACTCTCAATTTCAACTGCAGAAACCGCCATCAGGAAATAAACGTGGCAAACGCTGACTTCGGTGATTACAGAGATATGTTGCTTATTGATTTAGCAATGGCATAATTATTGTGACTGTTTAAATTTACTGTTTATGGCATCTGTCATCTATCTCCATCACGAACCGTATTAATTCAACTAGGAATAAACATTCTGAATTTTACAGATTTTCCTAAAAACTGTTATTCCTATCCTGTACCTATCTCCACATCACCATCCTAATGCTCTGTATTTTTTGATGATAAATCTGTTAAATCAGAAATGTGGCGCGGAGAAGCACTCCACAGACATATGTGTAAGACCATGGTGTAATCACTACTGCAGACCAGCTTTCTTGGTCATTTTTAAGGCCAGTTCTGAAACAAAAACAATCTGAAGTTTATCACTTTTATTATACACCCCTACAACAACAACAAAATAAAATATTTCATAAAATGATAATAATATCATAAGTAATGATCCAAATAGATTCAACAAATGGAATGAAAAACACAACAGATCATACACAAAAAATTAAAAATAAAATAAAATTCAGAATAACCTGAATCAAAAACACATTAATGAAGCTATCCGAAACATATCTACTCCTCACATGAATCTGATCATACTTTGACCAAAGAGTTAAACATACAAATACACATTCAGTTCAACCATTAAAAAAAAATCACAGAATAAAAATTTGATAACCTGATGTGTTGGCTAACTTAACAGTAACTAGCAGAAGAGGAAGTGAACAACAACTTAATCTTGGTGCTTTGACTTCAGCACACACGCACACATTAGACTCATGATACAGAGTTTTCAGTAGAACAGAATGATCAAAATCGTGAAGTACCTTCTTTCTGGAACAGACTACAACAGCTATTTGCAAGAGGTAATTTTCATATGTATTAATTTTTTTCAACATCTAAATATTGTACCAAAATATAATTGTGAAAGATAAGTAGGTAGATAGATACAAAATATAGACTTGCCTACTAATTTTTGCAGTATTAGAATTCATATGGTAGGTACTTTAATGCTAGACCTATACAACTAAAGGAGTACTCTCAACAGACTAAGATTAGAAAAGGCTAAGGCTACTGAAAGAAAATCCTGTGAGATCTGAAAACTCATTTTAGGGAACAAATTGGTCATGATTTAAAGACACACAGACAATATTATCCTTTTTTTCTCTCAAATACTTTTTAACTTCATTGCAGTGAATCTTATTATATACAGGGTAGTGCTCACTAAAGTCTTCATACTTCGGAATCACATGCATCATGTCCATGCATGTGATGTTTGCATGGTATCATTGAACTGCGCCAAGTTGGAGCACAGGTATAAGCAATAAACTCGCATCCTGGATGTATGAGCTACTGTTGGAGGCCTAAAATTTTAAAACAGTAGGCAAATTAGAAACATCATCATTGGCAAAACTTTTAGGGATGATAGCATTGATGAAGAGATAATAAGGTCAAAAAAAAATATTCATCAGTAATTACCTCTAAAAACACATTGGTGATAAGCAGATTGACATCATTATGGTCAACTTGTGTTGAATCTAGCATATTTGCAGAGGCACTTAACAACTCTGAAAAGCGAGCTGCTACAGAGCTGACTCTTGAGCAAAGTGCAGATGTCATCCTAGGGGTTGGAAAAAAGAGCAAACATTTTTACATGAAAGAAAAAGTAGTGAAGTGTTTGTGGACAATACAATACATACATTACAACACTTTGGCATTCAAGAAGGCTATCATGTTCCTCTTTAAGTAGCAGCAACTCAGCAGTCTTATGAAAATGCTCAGCAACAGCTGCTGTAAATCTTGCTAATGCTCGAATTGCCTGCTGATGGATTTCACGTAAAGCATTTTGAGGATCAGTTTCTTCTGAAACCTCTTCTTCGTCCACCCATTCATCATTATCATTTTGTGAGTCTTCATCCTGAATACATCTCATGGTTGCCAGCCAAGTGTCGGTATCTTCACTGACCTAGAAAGTTGAAAATTCAAATGAAATTACATCAATTGTTTTTGCTTGAAATTTGTTCACCTCCACAAACAAAGTTAAGAACAAAACACATAAAAAATTAAGTACACACCCTAATAAGCTTAGTGTGTGAGACAGGCACAAGAAGACCTCGCATTGCAGCTGTTAAATCCCTTTCGAGAATATCAATGGTACCACGGTCCTCCTCCTCATCCTCATCATCATCTGGTATATCACACTTCTCTTTAATTTGTATTAATTTTCTTTGAAATTCAACAAGAGGGGTGCCAGAGAGGGCAACAAGCTTTGCTTCTAGTTTCAATTGGCATGTATTAGAAAGCATTTCAAGGGCCTCCAAATGGATCATTCCTACAAAGAAATATTCATAAGTGTCTATTGTCTTTTGGAGTCTTTCAAAACCAAACAAGATAGTAATAAGAGAAAATAAATCAAAAAGTAAAATTACCTTTGTAATCATCAAAAAGAGTCTCAAAATGAGCTCGGGTTGCTTTCTTGGCCTGAGCTCTTTCTCTGTCTTCTAGTTCACCTCGATTACGAGCCTCTTTCAATATCTGATTAATGTAGAACAACAATTATTTTAATGGTTTTTTTAGTGTGACTTATCTAGACTTAAACTGAAAAAGATAACGCACAAACAACAAGCAAGATCAACAAACCTGAGAGAGTGTTGGTTTATCAGGTTCCCTTGAAAACAAAGCTCGCTTCCTCTTCAACCCAGGATCTCCTTCTTGCAATACATCCATTGTTTTCTTTCCTATAGTCTCTAATGTATTCAGTCCACTTGAAACTATCATTTCTCCAGTCGATTCAACAAATTTGAGTACATTCCCCATGACATTGAAACTTGAAGATGCCTGATCTGAGAAAGCTGGGTTGCCCTGAGCAGTGTCTATGGGTTTGGGTGGCCCTGTGACATAAAGAAAAGTAATTTGATTTGAATTCAAAAATAATTGTGGCATCTTATAAATCCAAATGAGATAAAGAAATTAGAGCTAAATAGCTGTGCACTGCTTACTTGGTTTAGCCTCTTCAACAGAGAGTTTTGCCATTTCTTCAGGTTCTACTGCACCAAGGCCTGACTCAATTACTGATGACATAGTCGAGAGACTTTGAGTGACGTGACTAGACACGGACGATGCTCCAGATAAAATTGTGTTCATACCCCAACTCCCCCATGAGCCCCAGTTGGACACGGCCTTGTCTGTTGTAGTATCTATCACCTGAAAATATTGATACTTTATTAGAACTATCTAATATATTCTTCCAGTTAAGCCTTGGTACCAATTATTAAAAATTAGATGATTTCTCAAAATGCACAAAGCACACTAAAGAGGAGTATTTTGTGTACAGACCTCATCTGATGCTTCAACACAATCCAAAGATGCTAGTTTGTCGAGAAGTGGTTGAAAAGAATCATGTACATCTTGATTTTCTTCATTTGCATTGAGGTTTGAGAGATTATTGCTCCATGGCGAATCAGTATTTCCTTTACATTTGTTGCTGTCAGGAGGGCCAAGTTCACTTTTTACGACAGCTGACGGCGATATCTTTACACCCAGCTTATTCGACCCAGATCTTCCCTTCCGGCTTGGAGCCTGATTGATAGGGTCATTACTGCTAGGAACTACCGAATCAGAAGTGTCGGCATTATTAATGTTGCTCCTATGTTTAGAATATGATTTACCCCTGCCTGTTAATGGCATTTTTGGTTTGGCTCCAAGTGATTCAGGATTCACAGGTGCTAAAGGTACAAAATCCCCATGGGATTGGTCTAAGGTTTCCTTCTTGCTACTTGCTGTTGATGCAGTTTCAGAATCAGCATGACCTATCAATGAAGCTGAACTTGCAGCAGAAGTGGACAATTGTGATGATCCTGGAGATAAAATTGAAACATTTCAGCTTTTGTTATTCAAGAAGAACTTTGTTTGAAATGGCACTGATTTAAATTCAATTTCAGTTCAAAAAACCATGAGTTATTAAAGACTCTCACCTTCTTGAGACTTTGAAACGATTCCTTCATCTGCACTTTCAAAGTCTTCACTCTCAGAATTTGCCATTGCCGAAGATGCAGCCTAGCAAAACAATGTACAAACAATTAGCAAAATAGCAAAATTAAGAACAAAGTATAGTATGTAAAGCTTCTTCTAAAGGATTACTGTGATAGTATGTCAAACTATTAAAACTAGTAAGTCACAAAAATTCCCTGAACTAGACTGAATGAAAATAACGTATACTACCCACCAGAATAACATAAATAGTAATCTAGATTTGATTTGAAGAACTTTTAGGCTTTAACGTGGAGAACATATTGTAAACTGAAATAGAGATAGATGTTCTCTTCCGGAAAGTGGTGGATATCTCAAATTATAAAATCGTACATTGAAATCAAATTATTAGGAACGTGTACAAGTTACTCTGATGACTTTAAAATCGTTTGACAAATGTGATCTGACGTCTGCCAAGCGAAAACAAAGTTCAATCACATATCGTCAATTATTTTTAATAAAGGTGTAAGAAACAGACTAGCGACCAACCTTTGATTTAGAACTAAGCGGTAGAGGAATTAAATTTAATGGGAACAGTGAACGGACAACTGACTGATCCTTTCTAAATCAGGGAAATAAATCACAAAATAGAATGAAGTTTCACGGACGGTCTGCCATTCGTTTGGCAAAGTCCCAGCTTCAGTTGTCTTATTGATGTAGCCATCGGCTACGACGCGAGGCTACTAAACGCGTATATGAGAAACTCCTCCGTCAGAAAGACACTACCCATGCCTGCTCCTTGAACGAAAGAGTTACACTCTTTACAGTATTGAGTATAACTCTTTCGTCCAAGCCCGCCTCTTTTGCCTCTTTTCTTACCGTACCGTCCCGACCCCTTTCGCCTTTCGTCGCCCTTACGCCGAACGATTCCCGAGGCGCGAACGTCATCAGGGAGCGTTTCGTCGCTGGAGCCCCTGCGCGCATGGGCCGCCGACTCCGCACAGCTGCTCGGCGGGTCGGCCCACCGGGCGCGTCACAGGCGTTGTCGTCAGCGTCAGCCTGCGTCAGCCTCGGACTGCTTGAGGGGCAGAGCCGGCAGCAGAGCCCCGCAAGCGATGGGGAACTGTGGTGGCGCGGCCCCTGTCCAGGCGACCCCGATCAACTCCACAGCCACAGCATTAAATGTCTTCTATCATTTAGAGCGCCCCCCCCACCAAAAAAATTGTAATAAAATAACAATAATAATAATTAATAAAATCGGACGGAGCTTGTATGCCTGGGTAATGTCTAAAAACGTTACCCCGCGCTGTTCATATTTCTGGATGACTTGCCATATTCGCCAGTGGAGTATCCAAAAGTCTGTCGGTGCACTGTAGTTGTTTACTGTAACCCAACTAAAGTTTCACCACAATTCTCAGCAGTTTGAATGTCGAAAAACTGCTCGGATTCCGACAAGGCGCTTCAAAGTAGATCGAAAGTGCAGCTTAATGGAGTTCGACTGCATGCAAGCAGAAACTGCAGTTGGGACTGCAAGTTCCTTGCATCCGGGACGGTGACCTCATGCCGAATAAAACGTTTCCCTTGCGGTGTTTGGGGCTTCAAGGACCGCAGTTCGGGTTCCACCGAAATCACTATCCCCCCTAGCACAATATATAAGACTGCTGGCCGTGCTCTCGCTTCTCTGTCCTTACCGAGACTAAAGGAAATGACACCTTACTTAAATTTTCTTATGTTTACTTATGTTAAGTCTCAGTTAAGTAAGGTTTGTAAGGTATCATCTGCTAAAAACGGGGGTGGGCGGCTGCGCTCCCCGCGCCGCTCTTCGGCTGGCGGTGAGACGCCCACCGGAGCGTGGCCGTCCCCGGGCTCTGCCGAGCTCTCCCCAACTTGGCGGTCGCCAGCTCCACCGCGAAGACAACGGCGGCTACGACAAGCCCGACGAGGAGCATGTAGAAAGCGGGGGCCATGTGCTGCAAGCTCAGAGGCAGCACCCGCTTCAGGGCCGACAAGTGCCTCGCGGACAGCACGCGGTTGCCCTCGTCCAGATCGTCCTCCCAGTGGTCCAGTATCCCAGCTTC